TCTCTCTCTCTCTCTCTTCTTTCAAGGCAGAGCTTTACCCCTCACACTCTGCCTTCTGGGCGGGCTGATTGATGAACAACCTGGCAGTTGCATATTAAACAGTTCAGAGGGAAGAGGAGTGCAATGAGGATTTTTCCCACTTCTCTTCCGCAAAGTCAGGCCTCTAGATTTGGGGGTGAACTTTTTTTGGGGGAGGTTCATGAAAGTATTTTTATTGCTCTACATCGTCACAGAGCTATGGATAAACCTACAAAAACTTTTCTTTTTGATTAAAATAAACACATAATTAAAACCTCTGAAACCCTGGGAGGAAATGTATGACAAAATATGTACCCGGTTAATTTAAAAATGTGTAAAGATGTGTTGGCTGTGTTGTCTATGTGTGGGCATGTGTGGGCATGTGCGGGTGTGCAGGTGCCCTCAGAGTCTAGGCAGGGCACTGGATATCCTGGAGCTGGGGTTCCAGAACTCGTGAACCACCTCATGTGGATACAGGAAGTTGAACAAGATAACATATTTTGAAGTGGAAACACACTAGGAGGAAAATGTGAACATTTTGAGCAACTGAAGCCTTTCTTTAAAGAAGTCCCATCTCTGCATTCTTCACTGTAAATCCTGATACAGCTGTGATGCCAGGAAATGGACACAATCCCATAGTGTTCAGAAGCTACAAGTTCACACACAGTGTAACCGTGACACTTCCCAGTTCCTGGTTCAGTGAGAAATCCTGTCTCAGTGAGAAATCCTGTCTCAAAAGGAGTAAAAGAGAATGGCAATAAAGAAGGCACCCAATATCCTCTTCTGGCCTCTGAATAGCATCCTATATACACACACACTCAAATACACACATAGATACACTCATACACACAATGTACACACTCGACAAACTCAGAGGTCAGTAAAACAAATCCTCAGTCTGGCCATCTCTCCATGTCTGAAAAGATGGTGGACAGGCAGGTGAAAATGCGTATGTGTAACTGAGATGTTGTTTTTCTTGTTTCATGGTCAAAAAGTCCCTTTAGTTGAGAGAAGCTATTCAGGCATACTGAGTAGTGAATTAACAAAGTGTGATGAATTGGAGCTCATGAAGAATTCATGAGCTCTCATTTAACGCTAATTTTTTTAAAGGCCTATGCTAGATGATTTTTAAACCCTGGCTCAGACTGACAAGCACAAAAATTAAAGTTCAGTGAAAATTCAATCTCAAACCACATAGTCAAATTATCCAAGAGTACATATTTATTCCCTTTCTTGCAGTGAATGCCTCAAGCCTGAAACATTAAAATAAAAATTTAAGGCTATTTTCTCGTACGGCAGTTAATCAAACTTTAATGGCCCTTTGATCCTTAAACAAGAAAACATTTGTGCTGGTCACAAAGAGTCTGCTTTATGCATCCAGACAAGTGAAGGATTCCTGTCTCTGTGGAGGATACAACACTCCCTCATGAGTGTCACAAGTGTCCTGTCACAGTGAGGTTTACTCGGCATTGATTCTTCCTATTGCAAATGAAGAGATGTGTTGAGAAAACCAAGCTATTTTGAAGCTCTAAACAACTAATAGTCGTGGGGTAGCAAGATGGCTCAGTGGTTAGAACTGCTTGCTGTCCAGGCCCTGGCTGCCACCAAGGGCCATGTCTGTAACTGTGACCCTACCACAACTCGGGATCTGTGCTGACATCTGTGACCCACGTTGCCACCGAAGGACATTTGGATATCCACGTTCTGGGCTGCTGCCTGAGATCACGTGATGTCCAGGGGCTATACTGATGCCAGGGCCCAAACTGATCTGAGTGGCCTGTGCTGCCACCTGAGGCCATGGTGACATCCAGGCCCATGCTGTTGCTGAGGGTCATTTTCGGTCTGTGGTCCTATCACAGCAGGGGTATGGATCTGTGCTGATATCCTAGGCCCATGTTACCATGTGGATATTCCTGGTCTGGGCTGATGCCTGAGGCCATGTTGCTGAGCTGACCCTGTCCCTTACTGGATACCACACTCAGAAGAGCCGGCCCCCACCCCTCGCCTGGGCACCGCAGGAGTGCTGGGTCTGGTGGCATGGGTGCTGGAGAACAGGCTCTAAGGGTGTAGGCACAGAAGAGTTGGCCCTATGGTGTTAGTGCAGGGAAGTTGGCCTCTGGCTGCAGCACTCAAGAAAGCTGGCCCATCCCCTCACCTGAGCAGCACAGTAAGCCGGACCCTCATCTAGGCAGTACAGGAGAGTTGGCTCCGTTGGCGAGGGTACAGGCTAACAACTCAGCTACCACTCAAGCCCAAATCCTGGGCTTTGAGCTGGCCCACCCCAACATCTACTCAACTTATGAGCTGCTAGAGTGAGTGAGGGGCTTGTCCTGCAAAACCAAAACTGCAGAACCTCCATAACTCTGGGCAACAGCAGGATTATGTGAGAGGAGTCTTGCTGAGGGTCCAGTATTGTATTGATGGTGTTAGAGAAGTCAAAAGCCTCCATCCAGACCAACGACTTAATCACAAAGAACATTTGCAAGTAGGCTGTGTGGACAAACGATTATACTGTGAGACGCACCATGACACACTGTTGCTTACATGATGAGATTTTTTTTGGAGGGGGACCGGGTTACAAAAGTGGAAGGCAGATATGGAAGGACTGGGAAATGAGTGGGATTGGGGTGCGCGATGTGAAATTCACAAAGAATCAAAATAACTTTTTAAACCTTGTAATTTGGGAAACAGTATTATATGGCAAGTTTAGCGCTTGGTCTCACTGAAATAGTCAACACACAATAGTTTCTGAATAGAAGAGAAAACATTCTAGCAACTGACTGGATAGAAAAGTACAAATTCACTCAGGCTAAATCTCAATACAGCCAATGTACTAAACACACAGCTCAGCTTAATAAGAGTGGCATGGTTACTCATTCATTTCTGTACACTCCCCTTAAAGACCTTTGCTTTTGAAGGCATGAGGAATTCAGAGCCTTAATGTTCTAAAATAAATTTAAGCCTTTAAATTAAAGCATTCTGTTGGAATTTTAGAGGCATACAAACTTAAAAACAATAGTATAAAAATCTAATAGAAAGAACAATGAGAAGAGAGACAATAACCTTTCAAAGCTTATTTTCTGAAGCTTCAGGTAAAGAGGCAAAGGGAGTTGGGGAGTGAGCAGTGAAAATAATGCTAACAGAAATAGGTTGGGGCTGTTAAAAAAATACAGATTGGAGGTGTAAGACAACAGGAATTCATTCCTGAGTTCTGGAAGAAATTCTTGGGAAGTTCAAATCAAGGTGCTAGGAGACTTGATGTCTGATGAGGACACCCTATCTAGTCACAGATCCTAGCTTGCTTCATCTTCCTGTGATGAGAGAGATACAGCTTTACACAAAGGGACTAGATAAACGTACATGAGTATTCCCTTGAGATCTGACGACCTGCCATGGGCCTTACCTTTAAAGCCAGCACAGCAGAGCTAAGGGTTTCAATACTGTGTAGAATTCCATGAGAGTTCACACACAGTCTAAGCCCCAAATACCGCAAAAAGGTAGGTAAAAGAGGGTAATGGGATGAGTATACTCATATTACACACACACACACACACACAATCGACGGATGCGTGTTTTAAAGCCTTTTCTCTCAGTCAGGTCATTTGATGCGGTGAGAAGAACTACAGTGCTGATGCTAATTACATGCTGATAACCTCACAACAAGGCTAGAGGCGGCCTTCCTCTTTGTAGAGCTCAGGGGCAGGGTGCCGGCCTGACATGCGCAGGGTTTGATCCCCAGGACTACACAGACAAAGAATGTTCCTTTTGTAATTGTTTCTCCTGCCTGAATAACGCATATGAAATGCTAGCCATTTTATATTAAAAAAAAAACAAAGCTTGATTTTTCTTAAAAAGGAAACATAGCAAATTAATAATAACAAAAAAACTGGTAACACTGCTAATGATAGTTGCCATTATGCATAAAGAGGGCTCAGGGTCACAGGCCTTCTTCCCGTAAGTACATACTGGGGATACTCTGGAAGAATCAGGATCAAATACACACTAGAATGCTATGAAGCTTTAAGACCATTCTATTTTAAGATAGTCAAAGTATAAAGATGAAAATGCATGAGGCCATATTCGTGGAGTGATTTCACTTTTCTTCCCAAAAAAAGTGTATGTTTAAGCACATATATGTACACACACACACACACACACACACACACACACACACACACACACAATAGAAAATAAGTTTGAAAAAATACATACCAAAATGTGAAGAGTAGAAAGTGATGAGAAGAGATTTTCTATCTTGGAGCTTGCTCTGTAGACCAGGCTAGCCTCAAACTCAGAGGTCCACCTGAGTGCTGGGATTACAAGCAAGTGCCACCCTGCCCGGGAGACACTGTCACTTTCAAAGCAGAAAAACGATAAAACCGTAACCATTCTGTCTGGGCAGAAATTTAAAAGTAATACTTAATTTCCTTGAAAATAAGGCTCATTTTATCACTCAATCTACCAGGATCCTCTTTATCATAGAGAAGGGCAAAACATTAGGAAATATATCCCACCAACACACTGTGAATTAAATATACTGTGGCCTTATATTTTTGGAAATATCACTGTAAACTTCAGAAAATTTCTTAGGATAAGAAAAAAAAGTTCATTGTAATCTACTTTGTGAAATTCTGCACGTATTTCTTAAGTTGAGATTTATTTTATTCTCTAGAGAGGAAGTCACCTATACTCTGATATAACAGTTTATATAGCCAACATTTTCTACATATTTACTAGAGGTTTGATGTATTAAAGAGTAAGAGAGGGAGAGAGAGAGAGAAAGAGAGAGTGTGTGTGTGTGTGCACACGCACACACACATACACATTTTGAGACAGGGTCTCATTTATTCTAAGATGACCTCAAACTTGTAGCTATAGATGACCCTGAACAATCTTCCTGTGTCCATCTCCTGAGTGCTAGGATTACAGGCATATATGGTACTGGGCCTATATATTATTGAGTAATGAATGACAAGAACCACTGCAGATAGAAAGAGCTTTTTTATTATTATTTTTTTGGGCTTTTTTTTTTTTTACAAGAACAAAAATATCCAATACAATAAAACTTATATTGTCAGTTGATTTCCTTAAGAAAGGAACACACATTTAAATAATTTGTAATTCAAACGTATCAAGTCCCCACTGATTTCCTTCTCTTAAGTCAGCCACAGTAGAAACATTTTGGTTAAGGGTTCATATTCTCTCTCACTTTTATTCATACTGAAATAATAAAATATTAATAAACCAAACTATTTGCTGTTCAGAAAGCTGGAAAGGTTCTTCTACATAATTTTGATATGCTAAGAAACCACACAAAACATGCATTTGCAAATGGATAAAAATAAGACTGCTCAAAAGAAAATATAAACAATAATTTCTTTTATCTAAATAATTTCAATTGAGTGAATATATTCATCTGATAATATAGCCTCTATCTTAAAATACAAAAAGTGCTCAGATTACCTGTAATAAAAATCACAAAAGTCTCAGAGAACTGAAAATAATTTAAATAAAGATGGTACACTGAGAATCAAAATGACACCTGTGCTGTCAGGCACCGAGGGAGGTGTGAATCTGCCTGAACTCAGAAGAGGACTAAAGCAACATGCATAGCTTCCTGCCTGAAGAAGATAAAAGTGTCTCTGAAAGGCTTCCTTCCATGTCTTCCTTCAGATAAAAGCCAGTGACACTGAATCAGGTATTTCAGCTAGACTTTGCAAAACGCAAATTTGGGATACTTTTCTTGACTGTACTATTCTAGCTGCAGTAGACACTCAAGAGCTCAAAGTATAAGCAAGCATTTTTTTTTTTTTAACCCATGTGTAGAGGCTAGTCTACCTCCTTTTAGTCAGGGTCTCTCAGTAGCTTGATGCTGACTCAGAGGCTAGGCTGCTGGCCAGTGGACCCTAGGTGTGTTCCTCTACTGATTCTCCAGTGATGGCATTTCAAACACACACTAGCAGACCCCTGGTTCTAAAGAACTCAACTCAGGCAGGTCTTCAAGCTTTGCCAGGCAGGCACTGAGCTGAGTTATCGCCTCAGCCCCACCCAAGTAGATATCTTTGACAACATCTAGATCTGTAGGATTCCATACTATTAAAAAAATAGACTGTGGGGGAAGACAGAGGGAAGAAGGAGAGGGGAGGGAGAAGGAAGGGAAGAGAGTGGAAGGGAGGAAGAGAGGACACAAGAGAAGAAAGGGGGAAGAGAGGGAAGGAGAACACAGCAAAAATTTTGAAGAATTTTCGTGCCCAAGTTGCTCTGCAGCCTCACTGAAGCCACCTATGACAGGCTTATCAGTATAAAAACAGGGACAGTGAACCATTTTCCTGTAAACACTGCAGGAACTTACTATTGGAATAATTTTTTATAAAAAAGAAATAAATTAGCACTACCTCACTTTAGGGGGGGGGGTGCTCTAGAGAGTTCCAATCTGGCTCTCTTACACGTCCTCAGATTATTTTATAGGTCACAACTCTAGAGGAATGTAGGACCTTAGCAATCAGAAAATGGCTTTCTTCCATCTTTATCCCTGGTAGCAAAGAACATGTCACAGAGAAGTTCATTCCCCCTCCATGTTATAGTTTATGTGGATGTACTAATTTTTAAAACCTCTTATTATCCTTTTATTCTAACTAGCTGCAGATTACTATTTAATGTTTTATTAAAGTGTAGTGTAGTGCATTTGGGTAAGTTTAAAATGAGTATCGGGACTCAAACTAAGTGATACAACATGGCTTTAAGGGTACCAATCAATAGAAGAAAGAAGGATGAGGCTGAAAGACTTGTTGGCCAAGTAGGTAGCAGCAGAAGGGACCAGCTGAGAATGAGTACAAACAAAGAGCTAATATGTTCACCCAGCTTCCAACAACTTGAGAGCAGCCTCACCTCCCATGTCTGACGTGGTCTTTAACCAGCTAGCTGCCTGCCACTTTGACAGCAGGCATTTGGTGAATAGGCAAAAGGCCCAACAGCACAAGAGTGAAAGAGTGGCCAGCCTCCCATGTTAAAGTACCAATGGCAGCGCCTGTTCTCTGACCCACAGAGAATCAGAGGAATGCAGAGGCTATAGGCCCCACAAGCTTCACTATGGCTTGTGCATAGTTGCAGGACTAGTTAAATACTAACCACTTCTATCACTAACCACAGAAGAGCATCCTGAGTTCCAGAGAATGGAAAGTAGGAACCTATTTTCTTTGGATAAGTCTCAGATCAAGCAAGGGTAACCACGTTTCTTTAAAATGTTGTTTCTTAGATATGTAGAAATAGAACAAACACCACTAAGGTCACTGCATATTTTATCATCCAAACTGAGCTAACTCTGGGGGCACAAGGAAACACTAGCAACAGGGAACACAATTATGCCAAGACAACAGACATATGCAGGACCATCCTGGACAGACACCCAAAGTGAACACCTGATGTTTGCAATCCTTGCACTTCCTTCTCAGGTTGTACATTAAGGGCACACAATAACACTGGTAGAATTTAGTATCGAACAGAGTAATAGAGTTTTGGTTTGTAGGGAAAGAAATTTCCCGGGTGATGGAACATGCTCTTCACCTTTGACCCCACCTAAATTGCTCAGCATATGCTAATGCCTTCGCATGGGTCATAGACAGTGGTTCTCAACCTTCCTAATGCTGTGATTCTTTAATAAAATTCCTCATGTTGTGGCGACCCCCAACCATAGAATTATTTTGTTGCTACTTCATAACTGTAATTCTGCTACGGCTATGAATTGTAATGAATCGGATATGCAGGCTATCTAATCCACCCCCATGGGCATCACAACCCACAGGTTGAGAACCACTGTTCTAAGTGAACAGTCTCTGTGTTAAAATTTCTCTAAGACAAAAACAGTAACTGTGAGTAAATTACTTAGATTCACATCTTTACTTTCCTTCCTAAAATATTTACTGGAGTCATTTTTAGCACACTTTGCTCCAGAAGCAAACTCCAAAAGGACAAGTCCCAATTAAGGGACTACATCATAGAGTATTTTAAAATCTTTATATTAACCACAAGATTCTCATAAATACAATTCCACAAAATATTTTTAAAAAGCTCTATGAATGTACTTGGTGAGCGGCTGCAGGAGCCAAGACACAGGCAGGACTGTGGCAGGAGAGCCGGGGCTGGAGCTGGGCTGTGGTGCAGGCCTTCAGTTTCTGAACAGAAGCATCCTCTCCGAGCACTTCTGCCCCACAAGGTTTGCATACTCCAGCACAGCAGGCTCTTCACTTGGGTCATTGTGCTGGTTCTTAAAAACACCAAAAGGCATGGCGGATCGTCTATAAAACACCCGTACTCGGTCAAGGTCCTTACAACGCCCTTCATCCTCTGCAAAGAAACAAATACAGGTCAAAGACTGCAATACATCAAAGTCAAGCTAACACTGAAGTGTGAGACCTGAAACATGATGGACTAGCAGGTCCTCTTGACGGGATGCTCGTGAGCATGTTCCTAAGAATAAACAGGAGGTTCTCAGTGAAGGCAATAAGCATTCCCTAGTGTGCTGGTCAAAACAAAGAATTTCATTCAACTGAGAACCATGCTACCAAACTCTACCTTTCTGGTTTTTCCAAGTGCAGTAGCATCTGCAGTGCTCCAGAATGTTTCTAGAGTTCATATTAAGTCGCTGGTGTCTCTCTAGCTAACATGCTGCCTGACGCATTGGCTCTACATAAAAACTTATGGCCAACTTAGTAGGCATGAGGAGGCCTGGCTTTGCATAATCTTGTTCTTTACAGAGGGCAAAGGGCAGATTCTCAGCTTCCAAAGAAGATTTAGCACAGAGTGCTGTGGCTGCTAAAATTGAGCTTTCTCGGCTTCCATATACAGGAGCTCACAGTTTGTATCAACACTGCAACCAAGTAGAACATCTGTGAACCTTCCTTCCCTGAAGATGGGCATGCCCTCATGACTTAGTTCAGGTCAGCACAAGTAGTGCTCTCTGAGACTGCAAGAGCTTTTCAGAGAGAACAAGCTCATCTGTACCGTCCTCCTGGCTATAACCTGTACATGGATCAGCACAAGGCAGGAGTTCTAACTTCTGCCTTGGAGCCTGAAGTTAGGAGCTGTTTTTGTCTTGGACAACTCTGACTTCATGGAACAAATTGTCATTCCACCTGAGCTGCCCATGCCTAGATGGTTACATAAAATAATGTTTAAGCCAACATTACTCTAGATTCCTATTACTGGAATCACTGTTAGTTCTAATCCAGAGAGTAGTGTTGCACCATAACCATTAACATGTACATACATGTAAACCATGGAGCCATGCTACCCATATCCTGACTTCACAGTGCAATCACTGGAGGAGGATTTTAGGAGTCCCCAACATCTTAGAATCCTTCTTCACAAATACCAAGTGCAAATTGGTGTGAATGAACCTTAAGCAGCAGAATTTTCCTAAGTATTTAAGTTCTAAGAGCAGGGCAACAGCCACAGAAAAGCTTCTGTGTACATAGTTCACAACGTATCTGAAAACCACACACCAAAAGTCTGCCCGTGAGGAACTGGTTAAAGGTGGCAGCACAGGAGAGAACGAAGACAAAAAGCCCAGCAACTGTTCTTTCAGCTGAAAGCCCAGTGCAGGCAGTATGAGTCCCTGACTCAAAATCCTCAGGATGAGCTGAGTGTGGTGGAGCATACCTGTGATCCTGGCACTTGGGAGTCAGAGGCAGGAGGATCATAAGCGCAAAGCCACACTGGCTACACAGAGAGTTCTAAGGCAGTCTAGGGTACACAACAAAACTCTTACAAAAAAAGACAACCCAACCAAACAAAAGCCCAAACACGAGGGCTTTCGATAGTGAATTCTGGAATAGCTACATACTTGTAAAGAGACCTGGGAAAGGAACCAAGCCAAAGCGTGACACTCACTATGCTTTCTTATGCACTAAAAACAGACCCAGAACATCTTACACAATGTAAGCATGGCTGTGATCTACCATAAAAGGTTGGAGAAGGAATCTGTAACTAAGCCACAACATTTAAAGTTTCTTCTTTCTCAGAAGTTGTTGCTCTAAAACAGCATCAAACTCAGAATTCACTGCAGATCAGTTTGGCAGTGCCAATGTACTGTCTGTCTGCCTAAATGCTCATGAGAGTGAGGGAGCCCATCCAACCTCAGGCTCCAGGCCTGTTTACAGGTCTGTAGCAGAGCATCTGTTCAGTCTGTCGGGCTGCATGGCCTGTGGTTCCTTCCTTCTCAAGGAAGGCAGAACTATTTGTACCTCTCAGGAGGCAATTATGCTAGGCTCCTGTCTGCAATCATAGCAGAATATCATTAATAGTGACAAGTGTTGGCTCTCTCCCATGGGGTGGGTCTCAAGTTGGGCCAAATAATAGGCAGAGCTTGGGGAGTTTTGTGGAAAAGTGGGAGGAAAGACTGAGAGGTCAAGGTCACCACAAGAAGACCTACTGAGCCCATGGAGAGACTGAACCATCAACCAAACAGCACGCATGGGCCGGACCTTGACCCCTTACGCGTATGTAGAAGATGTGCAGTGTGGCCATCGTGTGGGTTCCCTAACAATGGGAGTAGGGGCTGTCTCTGACTCTGTTGCCTGCCACTGGACCCCTTTCACCTAGCTGGGCTGCCTTGTCTGGCCTCAGTGGGAGAAGATGTGCTTAGTCCTGCTTTGACTTGAGATGCCAGGGAGGACCGGTAGTCCTCAGGGCCCTCTCCTTCTCTAAGGAGAGTGCAATGAGGGAGGAGGGGGTATGAGGGTGAAACTGGGAGGAGAGAAAGGAGAAGGCTGGGTTCAGGCTATAAAGTGATGAAATAAAGATGTTTCTTAGTAGCCCCACTATCATACTCTCTTTAAAAAGGCACTGTAACACTAGGTGCACATGACTGCGTCTATCAGACTTTTGCCAACTTATCTTCACACCGTTTGCGTTTTTGTTTGTTTTTTGTGTTTGTTTTTCCAAGACAGGGTTTCTCTCTGTAGCCCTGGCTTCCTTAAACTCACTCTGTTAACCAGGCTGGTCTCAAACTCAGGTATCCTCCACTTACCTCTGCCCCACGTGAGCCCTGGGACTGAAGGTGTGTGCCACCAATGCCTGGCTATTTCTTCACGTCTTTTGATTTCACAGCTAATGAATGACACCTAGTACTGGCTTTTCGAATTTCTCCGAACCTTCAAATCTTAGCTAAGATGACATAAGTCAGCACTCACACCAATTTAAACTGGTAATTTTCTTGGGAGTAATTTTATTTACTTAACCAAGAAAGCATACTATTAAGCTATTAATATCTAAACAAATGACAAAAATTCAGCTTTCTATTTTCAAAGTAGCCTAGCTTTTCTTTTAAAAATCTTAAATTGGGCTCAGCTGTTAAAAAGACTTGCTGCTCTTGCAGAAGTCTTCTTGGTTCACAGAACCTGCACAGTAGTTCATAACCATCCATAGCTCTAGTTCAAGGGATCCAAGGAATCTACACATACGATGCACACGCATACATATACAGATAAGATAAATAAATCATTTAAAATCTTAATTACAACTCAGACTTAGAATATAAACAAAATTCTGGCCAACCAAAGAAGCTAAGGATAATCTAAAACCTCCAGCATTCAGAATGAAAGAACACAGATCAATTAAGATACATTTTAACAGAAACAGGAAAGATGGAGTTACACATAAAAAAAAAAAAAAAAAAAAAAACCCTCACTATTTAAGAAAAGAATTATCAAGCTACTCAGCAATTCATTATTGACAAATTAATGAACATCTAGTAACTGTCACACTGTTTAAAACAGTGACAGTGAAGTGTGAAGCACATTGGCCAGCTCAGGATGGCGAGCATGGCTCTGCAGGCCTGTCCCTCCTCCCTCATTCCCTCTGCCTTGCTAAAAACTATTAGTGTACATTCCTAAAGCTAGCCACCAAGATTTAGTCCCTTATTTGGCCACTTCTTCCTTTGGAAGCTGACTATCAGGGTCTAGTCATCAAAGTACTGAAGTCCAGCAATCAAAAGCCCCCTTTGGCTCACCTAATTTACATGCTCAATCAAAATTAAACACACAGGGCTTTCCCTTGTACCTTTATAAACCACCATTTTTCCATGACACATCTGTCTCCTCTCTATCCAGAGTCAATCCTTTGTCCTACTCCCCTCCAGGATAAAATAGCCCTCCCCACTCCCTTGTTTCCTTCCCTTTCTCCTTCATCTTCTGTCTCCTGTCTTTGTCTCTTATTCCCTGTCATCTATCCCTCTAGGGCAAAGAAATTTTTGTACTGAGAATTTGGTGCTGGGGGTCCTGAGCCAATACTTTCCAACTTGTGTTGTTAAACTCAGATATTACAGAAATAAAGTGGAAATATCACTCCACATATATAATCTTTGTGCCTACATTTTCTCCCTTTCCTTCTCAACCTCTAATCCCAGCATCAAAAGCATTTAAATACTCAAAGATGGAGTTTTGGATCATTCTCCTATTGCACTTTAGGACAGAAAACGGAATCACCCCAGAAGTGGGGATAATGCATGAACCCTGGAAAGCCCTGACCATCACCACAGAAGCAGAAACACTCATTCTGGTGCTGGCTGCATGGTCTGTGGCTTATGATCATCTAGTCATATCCTCAAGGAAGGGACAGTTATTCTTAGTATATCCTACACAGTGACCATTAAAAGCAATTTAAACATAAACAAAAAATCCTGAGAGTTACTTAAAATACTAAAAATTATGATTTAGTTACTAGGAAGAAAAATATAGCTCAAAATTTTACAACAATCTTTTTATCAACTTATAAATACCAACATGACAACAGTGCTTGTAGACAAATCTACAGTGCTAAATCAACAGGCATAAAGGCCTTTCCTTAGCAGGACTTGAAAACACACAGGAACAAGCTATTTTGATATGAAGATGGTTGTCATGGTAGCCGAGGAATGCTGCCAGCTTACTGAGATATAAGAACTTGTACTTTCCCAAAACTGTATCACAGTTTAATTTCATAACCTAAAAACACAAGGAGTCTTGCAAGATCTCAGAGATAAGCATTTGGTCACCAGTGACTCAAATGTGCTGCCAACTCCATGATATTTTAATCAAGGAAAAACTCAGTAGGGGGTTTGCTTGATTGCTTACGCCCCACAACTGTTTACTCATAGGAGATGAACTGGTTAACAGGTGCTTTCAAAGCAAGAGACTCTAGAGAGCAAAGCTGTACTTCTTAGGGAACTCTAACTTATTTGTTGTTCTCAGAGACGTAAGTATTTTAGAGGTTTTTCTAAAAATGATTAAGCAATCTACTTGCATAAATTCATAATTTATCGTTACAACATTGTTCCATAAGCATAGTTTTAAAAATGCAGGTGTATA